GGGTTTCCAGGGCTGCGTGTGTGATCCAGGAAGACCTCCAGAGTCGGCAGGTAAGACAGCTTTTAAGTGTTCTTTACCCACTCCCAAGTCCTAATGAGAGGCAGGCACAGAGACGGGACTGTTCACAATTTAGACCTCGGCTTTTCTCAGTGTGATATTTACAGGGAAGCAGGTGAGGTGGGAGATACATGCTGCAAAAGCAGGGAGGTATGTTTCAGTCTCTCCCGTTGAAAGAAAGGAAGCCTGGGATCATTTTCGGAAGCAAAAGGTAACAGACAGGAAACTCTAGGACCTTGGGGTGTGGAAGTTGGGCCTAGTGTTGCTCCTACCTGCTGGACAAATGTGACCTATTAAAGGGAGTAGGGGTTGGTAGACATTAGAGGTAAATCTATTCTAGAAGATATGTAAATGATCTCAGGATGGCTCATCTTGGCCGAGACCTCCCATGCCAAACCCTCTCTCCTCCCAGGTGTTTACAATATCATCCCCTACAGCCTGACGTGGTAACAGGTGCCTGTAATCCTAGCACCTGGGAGGCTGAGACAAGGTGATACAGAGTTGGAGGCCACAGGATGGGGTTTGGTGAATAAACCCCATGCTTGTTTAGTATGCATGAAGCCTGGGGTTTGATCCCTGGTATCTCTGCCGCCCAGCTTGTACCACCACCTTGAGGCTTGCTTATTTTCTTGTTCAAGAGAGACGGAGAGAGAGGAAGAGAGAGAGAGAGGAAGAAAGAGAGGGGGGATGCATGCATCACATTTGGAAGGAAGACCAAAATGTCACATTCAAGGTCATCCTCAACACAGAAATTTAAGGTTGCAATCTCCATTTACAGAAGATATTAAAGCTGAGCAGCAAGAACAAATCACAGGCTTTAAAGTTCCTGTATGGCAGTTTGGGGACTCAAAGCCAGCCCTCTTGCCTCCTTGCACCAGGAAAGCCCATCAGCTCACACTCATTTGGAGAACTGCCAATGGCAGGGCTACTCTGCCCCTCTCCTGGAGTGCTTTCTTTAGTGGGGCTGTCTCCCTCCAGGGGCTCTGACCAGTCTTCCTCCTGTGCTCTCAGGCTCAAGGAACCTCCAGGTACCTCCCATAGATTTGTAATCAACACAAGCCTCTCTCCCGGTCCTGGACAGCAGTGAGTCCTCTCAGCAGGGGAAGGGCCAGCAGTCTGCTATGGGCATGCCTCTGCTCTGCCTCTCTGCTCCTCTACTTCCATCCTGCCTCCCACTTCCCTTGGCTCCTCTGAAACTCATGACTTCCAGAGAACACACCTCTGTTCTGTTTGTTTTGTTTTGTTTTGTTTTCAAGACAGAGTTTCTCTGTGTAACTTTGGAGCCTATCCTGGCACTGAGATCTGGTGCCCTTTTCTGTAGATCAAGCTAGCCTTGAACTCACAGAGATCCACCTGCCTCTGCCTCCCAAGTGCTGGGATTAAAGGTGTGTGCCACCAACGCCTGGCCATCACACCCCAGTTCTGGAGTCCATCCCAGCTTCAGAAAGGTCCAGAAGAGTGATGGCAATGATATTGTCTATTTTCTGTCTCTTTGGGTGTGTGAGTGTGTGTGTGTGTGTGTGTGTGTGTGTGTGTGTGTGGTTTGTGTGTGTGTGTGTGTGTTTGTGTGTGTGTTGAACCTGGGGCCTGCACATCCCAGGTAAGAGCTCTACCACTGAACTCTATCTTCTTCCTTTCTCCTCCTCCTCCTCCTCCTCTTCTTCTTGTTTTTTTGTTTTTGTTTTTTGTTTTTTTTTTCATGACAGGGTTTGAAGTCCTGGCTGTCTTGGAATTCACTCTGTAGACCAGGCTGGCCTGGAACTCACAGAGATCTGTTTGCCTCTACCTCTCAGAGTGCTAGGGTTAAAGGTATGCGCCGCCACCACCCAGCTTGTATTACCACCTCAAAGCTTGCTTCTTTTCTTGTTGGAGAGAGAGGAAGATAGATAGATAGATAGATAGATAGATAGATAGATAGATAGATGGGTCACCAGTGATGTGGAATTACTTCAGACTTACTATGTAGCTGAGGATCCTGTGAACTCCTGATCCTCCCCCCTTGTTTACCAAGTGCTAGAGTTACTGGTGTGCACTATCATGCCTGGCTCATGCTGTGTCTGAGACTAAGTTAGCTTACTAACTAAGATATACACCTGTAACAATAAGTCTTTCCACCAAGCCGCCCAAGTCCTGCTGCCACCACGTTAAGGTCCCAAGAAACACACAGAGACTTATATTAGGTACAAATGCTGTTTGGCCAATGACTAGATTTCTCATCTGCTAGGTCACTCTTAATTATAAATCTAAATATTTTATAAGACTTTTTTTGTTTGTTTGTTTTTCAAGACAGGGTTTCTCTGTGGCTTTGGAGGCTGTCCTGGAACTAGCTCTTGTAGACCAGGCTGGTCTCGAACTCACAGAGATCCACCTGCCTCTGCCTCCTGAGTGCTGGGATTAAAGGCATGCGCCACCAATGCCCGGCAAGACTAATCTTATTGGAAACCAGCAGCAAGCGTCCTGTCCTCACATGGTGACTCCCCGCTTTCTCCTCCTACATTTCCCAGAATCCTCCTTGACTCCTAGTCCCACCTATCTTGTTTTCCTATTGGCCAACAGTACTTTATAAACCAATAAGACAATCACATACACAGAAGGACCTCCCCATCATACACCCCAATTCCGTGTGTGTTGGGGGTGTACATATGTGGAGGTCAAGGGACAAGAACAATTTTGGGGAATCAGCTCTGTCTTTTTACATGTATATTCCAGGATTTTAAACTCAGCTCATCCGGCCTGGCAGCAAGGGCCTTACCTGCTGAGCCATCTTACAATGTCCTGTTTGTTGCTGGTTATTTCTTTGCTCTTTGGGCTCTTTTGGGGGGAGGGCTGCCACCCAGCTCCCGAATAAATCACACAAAGGCTTATTCTTTCTTACTTATGAATGCTGGGCCTTAGCTTGGCTTATTTCTAGTCAGTTTTTCCCAACTTAAATCATCCAGTCTACCTTATACTTCTGGGCTTTTACCTCTTACTATTTCTGTATAACTTTCTTTACTTCTTACTCTGTAGTTGCTTTGTAGCTGGGTGGCTGGCCCCTAGTGTCCTCCTCCTCCTTTTGCTCCTAGATCTTCTCCCAGCTTACTCCCCCTATTTATTCTCTGCCTGCCAGCCCCACCTATCCTTTCTTCTGCCTATCGTGATTGGCTGTTCAGCTCTTTATTAAACCAATCAGATGTTTTAGACAGGCAAAGTAACACAACTTCACAAATGCAACATAAAAGAATGCAGTACTGCCTGGAGAGATGTCTCAAAGGTTAAGAGCACTGGCTGTTCTTCCATAGGTCCTGAGTTCAATTCCCAGCAACCACATGGTGGCTCACAAACATCTGTAATGAGATCTGGTGCCCTTTTCTGGCCTGCAGGCCCACATGCAGGCAGAACACTGTATACATAATAAGTGAATAAGTTTTAGCTGAGTGTTGGTGGCGTACGCCTTTATTCCAGCCCTTGAGAGGCAGAGGCAAGCAGATCTCTGTGAGTTCGAGGCCAGCCTGGTCCACAGAGCAAGTGCCAGGATAGGCTCTAAAGCTACACAGAGAAACCCTGTCACAAAAAAAGCAATACATCTTTGCATCATTAAATAAACAAATGTAACATATCTTAAAGTAATATTCTATAACATTGTTAATGTTTAATAACAAAAATCATGCTACTTGTTAATTAAAAAAAATCATACAACATGGAAGCATACTGTACCATAGAAAGTTCTAATCTTCAATCATGGGAGTTACTTTTTTTGTTTTGGTGTTTTGTTTTGTTTTTTGAGACAGGGTTTCTCTGTGTAGCTTTGGAGCCTGTCCTAGCACTTGCTCTGGAGACCAGCTGGCCTTGAACTCACAGAGATCCGCCTGCCTCTGCCTCCTGAGCGCTGGGAGTAAAGGTGTGCATCACCAACGCCCTGCTATGGAGTTACTTTTAGGTGATCCATAACTAAGGACTGCCAGACTTTTCAGGTTGGATCCTGCCTATCCTGCTCTGTGATCTTAGCACCAGACAATCTCTCTGTGACTCTATTTACCCATCTATTAAAGGGGAATAATACAGGCATCTGGCTTCCAGGATTTGTGGTGGATGACTGAAAAAAAGCATAGAGGAAGGAGAGTGTAATGACTCCCATAAAAGGGATTCTGAAGCAAAAGGCAGGAGTGGTGGTGGAGAACACCTTTAATCCCAGCACTCTGGTGGCAGAGGCAGGAGGATCTCTGTGAGTTTTGAGGCCAGTTTGGTCTACAGAACGAGTTCCAGAACAGCTAGTCTTGAAAAGACAAAAGAAAAAAGAAAAAAAAAAGTTGCTAAACCAGGTGTGGTAAGTGTTGTGCCCAAATTTTGAACCCCCCCCCCCCCCAAAATCACCAAGAGGAGAGTCTTTTATTGTTTAACCAGCTAACCCCATTAACTCTGGCCTGTTCCCTGTTTATCAAAGTAGACGGCTGGAGGACCCAGGGGAAGCATGAGGCAGGGAACTTATTGGGCTAGGGTTATGCAACAGTCCAGGATTGGTCCGCTTCCAGACTTGGGCAGTCTTTACTGTATTGATTGGTCAACTGGTTGTTATGGCCCATAGACCCTCCCAGGGTGGTTGCTATGCTCTGCACAACACTGTTGTGCCACTTTTACCAGAGCATAAAGCACATCTAGAGTCCTACCAGCTATCTTTTGATTGGTTCCTTGCCTCGAGGAGGGTCTCTGACTGTCTAGTGACTAGGGCAGGCCCAGCAAGGTCAGACATGTGCTGAGTCAGAGGCCTACATGTCTTTTCTGCAGCCTGTCATGGCTACTAAGGGGAGGGGGGCCTGGTCCCTTCAGCCAGCACTTAGGAGATGGAGATAGAAGTTTAGGGTCCTCCTACAGCTACATATAGAATGCAACCTGCACGGGGCTGAAGTTGGGCCTGGGATATGAGTGAGGCCACAGTCCCTAAGCATGTCCTTCCGTTTTTATAGGCCCTAACTAGAGGCATGCGGCTGCCCCGCTTCTCCAGTGCTTTCGTGCTTTCACTCTTGATAGTACAGACCTGCATCCTAGTCTTCCTGGTCTCCCGGCAAACACCGTCGTCCCCCACGGCTGGCAACAGGGAGCGTGTGCACGTGCTAGTGCTGTCCTCGTGGCGCTCAGGCTCGTCTTTCTTGGGCCAGGTCTTCAGCCAACACCCAGATGTCTTCTACCTAATGGAGCCGGCTTGGCACGTGTGGGATGCCCTGTCGCAGGGCAGTGCCCCTACGCTCCACATGGCCGTGCGCGACTTGGTCCGTTCAGTATTCCTGTGCGACATGGACGTCTTTGATGCCTACCTCCCGTGGCGCCGCAACATCTCAGATCTCTTCCAGTGGGCCGTGAGCCGCGCCTTGTGCTCGCCACCGGCCTGCAATGCCTACGCTCGCCGCAGCATCAGCAGCGAGGAGGTGTGCAAGTCTCTGTGCGCGACGCGCCCCTTCAGCCTGGCCCGGGAATCATGCAGCTCTTATAGCCACGTAGTGCTCAAGGAGGTACGCTTCTTTAACCTGCAAGTTCTCTACCCGTTGCTCAGTGACCCAGCGCTCAACCTGCACATCGTGCACCTGGTGCGCGACCCGCGCGCGGTGCTGCGCTCCCGAGAGCAGGCCGCCAAGGCGCTGGCCCGGGACAATGGCATCATCCTGGGAACCAACGGCACGTGGGTGGAGGCAGACCCCCGGCTCCGTGTGGTCAGTGAAGTGTGCCGCAGCCATGTGCGCATTGCAGAGGCCGCATTGCATAAGCCGCCACCCTTCCTGCAAGATCGCTACCGCCTAGTGCGCTACGAGGATCTGGCCCGGGACCCACTCACTCAGATCCGGGAGCTCTACGCCTTTACCGGCCTGAACCTCACGCAGAAGCTCCAGACTTGGATCCACAACATCACACATGGCTCAGGGCCAGGCTCACACCGTGAAGCCTTCAAGACCTCATCCAGGGATGCGCTCAGTGTGTCCCAAGCCTGGCGTCTCACACTGCCTTTCGACAAGATTCAGCAGGTCCAGGAACTGTGCGCTGGAGCCCTGCAGCTGCTGGGTTACCGACCTGTGCACTCTGAGCTTGAGCAGCGGGACCTCTCTCTGGACCTCTTGCTGCCTAGAGGCATGGACAAATTCAAGTGGGCTTCCTCCACCGATGCACAGCCAGGATCTTAAGAGTCTTAGTGGAGAGTCCCTGTTCTGACATTAGGGCCTATTGGAGTATGATAATAAAAGGGCTTGGAGAAACCAGAGGAACAGTGTCTGGGAGTGTTTGGGTGGTCTTTGAAAGGCATTATGCTGGCCTGCCCCTGTTACCTGGCGGAACAGGCAGTACCCTGGTCAGCCCAAGGTTCCATGGGAACTAAGTCTGCACACAGGTGCAGAGGACCCCTTTAAAAGACAGATCCCTGACCATTTCTCTGTTTCCTCTTGGCTTCCTCTCTGCTTTGTCTCTACTCTGTCTCTTACCTACACGCTCTCCCTCTGCCTCTCTATGACAGCCGGCCATGGCGGTCAGCCATTTACCCTGTTGTTCTCCTCCTCTTAGTCTCCCTACTCTGCCGGGCCTTATAATAAACTTATAGTCAATATGTCTCATGTCTCAGCATTTCTCTTTTCTTCTTTTTAAACAAAAGAATAATAGTCTTGCCCTGTATTAGGAAAGGACTGAATCCAAATTCCTTATTTCTTTTCCTCCCCAGATTATGACATTGTGCCCAGATTCTGAATCCCAAAATCACCAAGAGACCTGTTCTGATGCAAAAGCAAAGAGTCTCTTATTGTTGTTTAATGAGCTAACTGCATTAACTCGGGCCCTTCATCCTTTTATATGGCTGGAGAAACAGCTAGGCGGGGAGCTTATTATGCATTATAAGGGGAGTGTCTAGGGGGTACCCAACAGTCTCAGGATTAGTGCGCTCCAGGCTTGGACGACCTGTCCTGTGTTGATTGGTCAACTGGTTGTTATGGCCTATAGGCCCTCCCAGGGTGGTTGCTATGCTCTGCACTTCACTGTTGTGCCATAAAACAAGCCCAGAGCCTTAAAGCCCACCCAGAGTCCTGCCAGCTAACTTCTGATTGGTTCCTTGCCAAGAGGAGGGTATCTGAGCTCCTAATGACTAGGGTAGACCTGGCAAGGTCAGACATACGCTGAGTCAGAGGCCTACATGTCTTTTCTGCAGCCTGTCATGGCTGCCAAAACACTTGGCTGGTCCCTTCAATGATTTTCCTTTGAGTCCTCCAGGGTCTGGGTTCCCATTAAGCACTCTCTTACGGAAAATGAAACCCCTGCCCACTTCTTTTGGCCAGAGAGCAGCCAGACCCAGATGACCTTTCCTTTTTACTTTCTCTCCTCTCTTTAGTAATACCATGCAATGGCTGAGAATGGTGTCCCAGGCCCTGTCAGGAGTGAAAGGGTACTGCTGTAGGCTGGCACTTAAATTTGTGCACCTGCCTCTCATTTGCTCACCCAGATCTCTGCTCACCCCAGGGCCCTAGTCTTTTTTTTTTTTTAATTATAGGTATTTTATTGAAATATTTTTATTTGAATTAGAAACAAGATTGTTTTACATGTCAATCCCAGGTCCCTCTCTATCCCCTCCTCCCCTACCCCCCCCCCACCAAAGACCCTCAGATTGAGGAATCTCCAACCTGGACAGTAGCCCAAGATCTCAATATCCAGTCCAGTTGATGCAACATGCAAGAGGCTTTATTGAAGTTATTTAACAAGCTAACAACCCCATGTTAGCTCGGGCCTTTCATCCATCCACCATGATGGGTGGCTAGGAAAGGCGCTTCGAAGCCACTACATAGAGATCTTATAGGGCAGCGTAAGGGGAGTGTCTAGGGGGACGCACAGGCTCAGGATTGGTGTGCCTCCAGGCTTGGAAGGGTTGCCCTGTGTTAATTGGTCAACTGGTTGTTATGGCCCATAGGCCCTCCCAGGGTGGTTGCTATGCTCTGCGAGTCATTGTTGTGCACTTGTCCGAAAAGCACACCCAGAGTCATAAAGCATAGCACCACCAGCTAATTTCTGATTGGTTCCTTGCCACGAGGCAGGCATCTAACCTCCTAGTGACCAAGGCAAGGTCAGGCAAGTACCAGTTAGACTGTTATGGCTGCCGAAATGGGAGCTGGTTCCTTCACCCCAACTAAAACCCTACCTTTCACATATCCTTTCTGCTCCCAAGGGAGGGTGAGGCCTTCCATAGGGGTCATCAGAGTCTTTCATATCCTTTGGGATAGGGCCTAGGCCCACCCCTGTGTGTCTTGGCTTAGGGAGTATTCCTGTATGTGGAATGGGCTCCCAAAGTCTACACCTATGCTAGGAATAAGTACTGAACTACTACAGGAGGTCTCGTAGATTTCTGAGGTCTCCTCACTGAAACCCACGTTCCTGGGGTCTGGATCAGTCCTGTGCTGGTATCCCAGCTATCAGTCTGGAAACCCGTTGTTCAGATCAGCTGTTTCTGTGGGTTTCACCAGCCTGGTCTGGACCCCTTTGCTCATCACTCATCCTTCTCTGCAACTGGATTCCAGTTCAGTTCAGTGATTAGTTGTCGGTATCTGCTTCTACTTCCATCAGCTGCTGGATGAAGGCTCTAGGATGGCATATAAGTCAGTCATCAATCTCATTATCAGGGGAGGGCATTTAAGGTAGCCTCTCCTCTGTTGCTTAGATTGTTAGCTGGTGTCATCTTTGTAGATCTTCAGACATTTCCCTAGTGGCAGGGCCCTAGTCTTATGGTCCATAAAAGACTTGGACAGTTGTGTGCATGGTCAAGAAGGAATCAGAGAGGATGCCTCTTGTGGTTTCCTCTTAGAGTCTTTGTCTGACCTTCTAGGAAGGAGCCCAGGCACACACCCCATGCCTGAGAATAATGAATTTTTAATGAGTCTTTGATTTGTCCTGAAGTAAAAATCCTAATTATGGAAATAAATATCATAAATAAGCTGTATGATCCAGTTTATAGCTTAAAACCTACCATGTTTGAAAAGCATCCCAAGAAGTAACAGGACTTGTCCAAGGTCACATTTTAAAGGTGAAGAAAGGAGAAATGGATTTGCTCTGGGGGTGCAGTGGTAAGAAGGGATGACTCAGGGTTGCTTTGATCCGTTTCCTATCAGCATGATACCTAGACATTTGTTCAATATAAAATACAACTAGGGAAACAGGAAATGGTAAAATTTGGGTTCAGAGCTGAGAATCCCAAGTGTAACCTGGAGGAGCCTAGAAGGAGACAAAGAAGAGGAGGGAGGGAGCCAGGGAGGTCTCCGCAGCAAGCCAAACAGAGTGAGATTGGCAGGGTCAGTGTCTGGGAGGCAGGTGGGGGCAGGTCATGGGGTTCCTGGAGCCCAGGCTTGCAAAGACCTTAGAAGAAACAATGGCTTAAAGGGTGGTTCTGCCTTGCCTTGGTCCTTCAAGACAGAATAAGCATACTTCCGGCAAACCACACCTAGCTCTGACAGCAAAGGACTCATCCAAGGGACACTGAACATGCTGAAAGCTTAGTCCTGAGCTCGGGTAACAACAGCCAGAAAGTAAACAGTAAATGTTTAAAAGAAGGGCAGGCTTCCTTCCTAAGGTGAGGACAAGGAAGTGGATTTGAGTCCACACTGAGCACTGCAAATCATACAGGGACACACTGATCCGAGAACTCTTAATTGTTGCTGCAACGTCACCATCGTCATGGTTACTAGTTTCTGATTCTCAGCATAGGTGTGGCCTTCAACAACTGGTGGAATTTAGGACAAAGGGCAGAATGCCTGATTTGAAGACTTTAGGCTTTTTTTTTTTTTTTTGGTGAGGGGGGACTCATGTAGCCCAGGCTTTCTTCAAACTATGTAGCTAAAAAAGACCTAAAACACATGTGTATGCATTTGTGCATACATTCATGTCTTACTTACTTTCCTGTTGCCATGACCAAAGCAACTTATACTGAAAGACCCCTGGAAGCTCAGGCCTCCAGGATCTCAGCCCAGGACCGTAGTCACCCCAATCACCAGGCGGAGTTGAAAGCTTGATGCAAACAGCACGAGGCTTTATTATAGTTATTTAACAAGCTAAACACATGTTAGCTAGGGTCTTTCATCCACCCACCATGGTGGGTAGCTAGGAAAGACAGCTCAAAGCGTCTGCATAGAGATCTTATAGGGCAGCGTAAGGGGAGTATCTAGGTACAGTAAGCACAGGCTCAGGATTGGTGTGCCTTCAGGCTCGGAGGATTTGTCCTGTGTTAATTGGTCAACTGGTTGTTATGGCCCATAGGTCCTCCCAAGGGTGGTTGCTATGCTCTGTGAGTCATTGCTGTGCACTTGTCTGTAAAACACACCCAGAGCTGTAAAGCATAGCACCACCAGCTAACTTCTGATTGGTTCCTTGCCACGAGGCAGGCATCTGACCTCCTAGTAACCAAGGCAAGGTCAGGCAAGTACCAGTTCAGCTGTTATGGCTGCCAAAATGGGGACCTGGCCTCTTCAATACAAGAAAGCATTTAATTTGGGGCTTATGGTTTCAGAGAGTTAGAGTCCATGACCATCATGGCAGGGAACATGGCAGCAGACATAGCCCTGGAGCAGTGGCTGAGAGCTCCCATCCTTTTATTTTTCACTATGTAAATGTTTTATTTTGATGTTCAGGGGTGCTGCTCTCTCCTGGCCTGTTCCACAGGTTCTCAATGGGCTGGTGAGGGAGGATTTCATTCAAGTGATCAATGGCCGTCTGATCAAAGATGGTCTTCATGCTCTCCAGCCTGCTTCTCATATTCCTGGATCCTGACCTGGGGTTCAGACACAAACTAGCACAGGTCCCCTTCCTCATTGTTCACCAGGGTGGTGTATTTATCCTTAGGCACCAGGATCTTCAGGGCATTATACTTCTTTCCAAAATTATCCACCAGACTGGTGGTGCTGGTACAGACCTTTAATCCAGCACTCAGAAGAGAGAGGCAGGCAGATCTCTGTGAGTTCTGGTCTACAGAGTGAGTTCCAGGACAGGCTCCAAAGCTACACATAGAAACTGTGTCTTGAAATACAAAACAAAAAAAACACAAAATCATCCAACAAGCCAGCCTTGGCCACATTGGCCTTGTAATAAACCCAGTCAATCACTGGTGGTTTCCCAGACAGATTAGCCAACCTGGTATGGAGGGTCTCATCTCAGGATTTAGGGAGTTTGCAATTGTCTTTTGGTTTTGGGTATGATGTCCACAGAAGCTACCCAATCGATGGTTTTTTGTTTTGTTTTGTTTTGTTTTGTTTTGGTTTGGTTTTTGTAAGACAGGGTTTCCCTGTGTAGCTTTGGAACCAGCTCTGTCCTGGAACTTGCTCTGTAGACCAGGCTGGTCTCGAACTCACAGAGATCTGCCTGCCTTTGCCTCCCACATGCTGGAACTAAAGGTGTGCTCCACCACTGCCTAGCCCAATCAATGGTTTTTTAGAGCAAGTTCACACTCAGCCATCTTGGGATCCTTCACTGTCCCTGACAGAGCACTGTCTCCAGCAGCAAGGAACATAAGTTGAAAGCTCACCTCTTGAGACATAACCAGAAAGCAGAAACAGAAAGACAGACAGACAGACAGACAG